TTTTATTTATAATTTAATACTTTTCTTTGCATGAATTCTCAATACAAAATGTCAAATTTACAGTGGCTTTATATAGACAGGTTTAACGTAAAAAATTTCGTTTACATACTTAAAATTGCACGTATATTTTTAAAACACAAAAAATACTCTTTCACTTAAAACCAATTTCTTATTAATTACTAAAACACTTAATTTTGGCAGTGATATAAAATATATATCATTAAATAACAAAGAAAACTTGTCAATGGTTCAAAATGGCGGCCGTGGAAGAATAATTCATAATAAACATTAATTCTGTCAAAAAACTGAAGCGTTAAAGAAAATTTAGATTATTTTTTAAAAAAAATTTCTAATTCAATTTTTAAACCAACAAACTACAATTAAAAACAAATTTCGGATTTTTATATGAATACAAAAAGGACTATTTTCTGTAAATTTTAAATTACCATAAATTAAAATGTTTTAAAACAATGTATTCAAAAAGCTTCAAAAAAAAATTTTCCGGCAAAACATAATACCGAAATATTAGTTTTCTTAAATACATAGTAAACATTTAGTATAAAAACTTGTTTTTTTTTGGGTGATAAAAGTTTTATCTCTGTATTTTGCAGTTATAATTAAATTAGTTCTTTTTAAACATATTATTTTAACTATTTAATAATTATTAAATAAATTTCTGAGGAGTGTTAATATAATTTTTGCCGGTTTTCATAAAATCAATGATTTCTAATAATGAAATCAATGTTTAATTTACTTTTTATTTGCAAACGTCAAATAAATTTTAGCAAATCTTTACTTATAGATTACGTTGAATATAATATTAATTTTTTTTTGTAAGTGCATAAAGTATAATTATTAAAAGTTTATATTTTTTTTAATTTGGTTTTGACAATTGTAATATTGGATTTTAAAAAAAAAAAAAAACAATATTTGACAGATTGTCGAAATTAGTTTGATTTGTTAAAAAAAAAAAAAAAAAATGCCACTCGAAACAACGCACGCTAGTATATCAAAGCCTGGGAAGAGTAAAAAGTGTAATATTCCAAGAGCTCATAGCACCATAGAACCTGATATGCATCATATGTATGGCTCATCCCTTTATAGATCACATTTTGAGGGTGATTCTTTTATTCCAAAAGTTTTAAAAACTAGACTTCATGATTTATTTTTACAAATAGAAAAGGAGTTTGAAAGTTTATGTTTTGAAAATATTTCTCGTAAGTTTAAAGAAAGTTAATCTTTTTCTCAAAATTTTTTTTACAACAATAAAACTAATTTATATTTGCATATATATTTATTACAGTACAGGAAAAAATTGAGGTCTTAAATGATAGATTAGAAAAAGAATCTTTAAGTACTGATAAACCAAATGATGTAGGCGATATTGAAAACTCATCAGTAAAAGGAAACTATTCTTCTAAGTTAAAAAGTATTGTTTTTACTTACTGCTAAGCTTAAACTAATTATTATTATTATTATTATTATTTTTTTAAGGTAATAATTTAATAATTAATTTAATTTTTAAGCATCAGGAGTTCAAAAAGTAAAAACTGCTCATAAATTAAAAGCTCAAACTAGCAAAATTGTCTCCAGTTTTAAAGGGCCGACAATGAATTGTTCCATTGTTAGAGAATACTCTGGACATAAAGATGGTGTTTGGGAAGTTGATGTTGCAAGACCAGGACAACCTTTAATAGGAACTGCATCTGCTGGTAATAAAAAATTTTGTAATTATTGCATTTTGTATAAAATTTGGTCACATGTTTTTACAAATGAAGTTTACTTTTTAATTGTAAGTAAGACTAACAAATAATCCAAAACTTTATTCATTTAAAACCTAAGTGATTATACAAAATTTTAAAATGTTAAAAATAATTATTTACTATTATTATTATTATTACTAATTTATTTTATATTTCCGTTAACACTAAAGTTTTTAATTATTATTTTGTTTTCCAGACCATAGTGCTTGCATATGGGGTGTTGATAATGGTAAATGTCTACTACAATATTTAGGACATAGCGGATCAGTTAATTCCATTTGTTTCCATCCAACTAAAGATCTTGTGTTAACTGCAAGTGGTGATCAAACTACTCATATTTGGCAAGCAGTGATAAATTGGGATCAATTGGTAATGTATTTATAGTTACTAAACAAATTTTTTTATAACATTTTTAAAACTATAAAAGATTTCAATATATTTTGATTACATAGAAAACATATTCTTCAGAAGAAGATGGAGATACAGAGAAAGATGAATTTGCAGAAGATTTAAAAATGTTCGATGGAGCACCCAGTTTAAGAACACCTGTTAGGGAATTAACAGGGCATACAGGAGTTGTCGTTTCTGCTGATTGGCTTCCTTCCGGAGACCAAATAATAACAGCATCTTGGGATCGAACAGCAAATTTATATGATGTTGAAACGGGGGAACTAGTTCAATCTTTGGGTGGTCACGATTTGGAATTAACTCACACTTCTGCACATCCAGTACAAAGACTCGTAGTTACTTCTTCAAAGGACACTACATTTAGGTTATGGGATTTTAGGGAATCAATTCATTCTGTTTCAGTATTTCAGGGTCACACAGAGTACGAATATTTTTTTTTTTTAAAATGTACTTTCGAAACATATAAAATCCAGTATGATGACCTGAAATTTTTTTTTTTTTTCAAAGCACTGTCACTTCAGCAGTTTTTACTAAAGAAGACAAAGTCGTGTCCGGATCAGATGACAGAAGTGTAAAAGTTTGGGATATGCGAAATATGAGATCTCCCTTGGCTACAATTCGATCGGACTCTGCAGTAAATAGAATAGCTGTGTCTTCTACTGGAGTCATAGCCATACCTCACGATAATCGTCAAATTAGACTTTTTGATTTAAATGGACAACGTATTGTAAGGCTGCCCAGAAGCAGTAAACAGGTAATTTTGGTTTTGTTTGACTCTCAACATTTACTAATATTATAAATCTCGCTATTTAAATTTTTTTTTTTTTTTGTAGGGTCATCGCAGAATGGTGAGCTCTGTTGCATGGGCAGATGAATCCACTAGTATGTCTTGTAATTTTTTTTCATGCGACTTTGATAGGCTTATCATAGGTTGGTCTGTTCAACCATGTGTAAAAGATTCTTAAAATAGTAATTAATAATTTTAGGTTTTGGCTTGCACACAGTTTATAATTTTAATAATAATCAGGGTTTTGTCAAAGATATTAAAGTGTATTGTTGTCTTACGAAAAGAGAACTTTCTTTTCTTTTAATTATTTAAATCGGACTCTAGTAAGATGACTAAATCTTATAAATTTGTCTATATTGTGAAAAGGTTTCATCGTAAATGTTTTTCCAAGAATGACAGCCATAGACTTTTTACAATAATATAAATGTAGTAAAATGCTTGATCATAAATTTTTAATGATTAAGCAAATTACTCGATTTAACTTGATATTTCATTTAAATTGATTTCTATCAAATTTTCGATTGGTATTAATTATTGTACTGTCTCATTAACTCTTGGGCGAATGTTTTTTAAAATGAACAATCAAAATGTTTTTATATTCACATGCCATAGTAAATGTAATGAAATTATTCAAAGTTTACTTTTGGAAAGTATTGGAGTGTTTAAAAGATATTATTATCGAGTACTTATTTCTATTAAATACGTAAATATTTGTCTACAGACGAGTCTAAAAGAATAGTATTAAATATTAATGTAATTGAAACTAATTTAATATTTATAAATTTAACATACATTGTTTAAAGCTCAAATTTAAGTTAAAAGAGCGAATAAAAAAAATAATTTATATTAAAAAGTCTTACTTTTATTTGTTATTCTTATCAAATATGTTAAAGTTACTTAAAAGTTTTTTGTTTTTTTTTTTCTGGTAAATGTATTTTAAAAAAATAAGTTATAAAAATTTAATTATTTTAGGATAAAAAGTTACTTTATTATTAAAAAAATTAATCATATTTAAAATTTTGTTATTATAAATAAATTAAATTTAAGATTTAATTTTAAGATTTTTCAATGAAATCATTCATCTAAAAAAAAAAGTAACTGTATTGTTTTGTTTTTATTTAAATATAATGTATTTTATTTTTTGTAATTTTTTTTTTTTTTTTTTTTATAAATTTGATTTTATAAAATTGTTTTGTTAAATTAATAAACTAGTTTTTTAGTTTTTTTTTTTTTTTTGTTAGATAACGCTCTAGATTGATACTTTTTTAAAAGTACATCACAAAAAATTATAAGATTTTAAAATAATTTTTTATTTATAAAAACTCATTCGTTGTTAAATTTATAAATAAAATAAAAATCTATAATAAATAATAAATGTTTAAAACTTAAAAGTAATAAAAGTTTTTAATACTTGGAAAAAATGACAAAAAATAAAAAGGTAGGTTTTACTTTGACTCAAGTAGTTTTTAATGAATCATCAAAAACAAAAGGAAACATCCGGAAACTTTTACCTCTTACACATCAATGATGGCGAAAACTTATGATTATTTATTTAAATTACTTTTAATTGGAGATTCAGGGGTCGGTAAAACAAGTG